AATTTTCACTGTAGAATTTACCTGAAATACTTAGACTCTTCACTCTTTTGCTTTGGGCATTATGGTACTGGGATTCTGGGAAATAGTACTAATTTTCAGATAGTCTGTTCTGCCTGTTTTCTACCTTCGGGTATAACTTAAATAACATGGATGGGTATTGAATAATAGTGCAATACAGGCAGGCGGTCGGACTTTTTGTAAATAATATCTTCACTAAAAACTGTAAATACTTTGATCCCTCAACTTGTTTTTGTATATTTCTTTGTGTAATGTTAGGGCTAAGAAATTGTACACTAGTTTTGTTAATATTATTATGTTGTGGTGACGTGCATCCTAACCCTGGTCCAAACATAAATGAACTAAGTGTTGTTCATATTAATATTCAAAGTCTGAGAGATAAAATATCTTTGGTTTCTGTAGAATACAATTCTTACGATGTCATTTGCATAACAAATACATGGTTGAATAGTAACATTCCTAGTCACAATGTACATATTCCTAGATTCCACCTGCCAGTACGGAAAGACAGGCCATCTGAAGGGGGAGGTGTAGCTATCTTTGTCAAAGATTATATCCATTTTAAACATGTGATTAATTTAGATATACCTCTTCTGGAAGCTATTTGGGTAGAATTGTCTTTTTAAAAAAAAAATGGTTGATTGTTACCGTTTACAGGGCAGACCTTAGTCGTAGTTACTGGGCCATGATAGAAGAATCCTTTAGTAAGTGCCTGCGACTTAGATGCCAAAAACGTGAAACTGGAAGATTTCAATGCCAGTATCTTTAATATGAGACAACCCAGGATTGAAAATCTTATGAATATGTTTAAATTCACCCAGATCATCTCTGAACCCACACGATTTACCAGCACTTCACGAACCGTGATCGATTTGATCTTTGTCTCCTGCCCCAATTAAATTTCTTTCTCAGGCGTTCTTCCATCAAGATGTAGTGATCACTGTCCTGTTTATTCTACATTTAAAGTTGATAACAAAACCTCACTACGTACATACAAACAAATTATTTATGACTATTCCAGGATGGACACTGATGGAATGAAAAACGCAGTAGAAAAAAACAACTGGGATGAATTTTTTTATGAAACTAATTTTGAAATACTCTGTACTAATTGATAAATTAAATAATATTGTTGATGTCTTTGTACCACAAAAAGAGGTATTTATACGACAAACGATCGTCCTTGGAAGAATGGGTATATTCGTAAACTAATGAGAGAACATAACAGGAAACACAAAAAGTCATAACTGAGATCAGAAAGGTAAAGCGTAATTACGATGATACTCTAGACTATAAAATTAACAGTGAATGTAACACTAAATGTTGGTGGCAGTTGGTTAAAAATTATCTAAAAATTACCCACCCAAAAAAATCACACTTTCCCGCCATTAGAAATCAACGATGAGAATGTTGAAGACAATTGTCTATATCGAAAGCGTTCAATAAATATTTGATAGAACAGGCTACAGTTGATGACCCAGATAAACCACTGAGCTTTCTCCCGCATATTGAAGCTTCAATAGGGGCTATTTCTCTTAATGAAAGCAAAATATTTGACTTATTGTATTCACTTAATGCTGCTAAAGCGAAGGGTCCTGATAACATCAGTAACCGACTTTTGAAATTACTTGCAAAACCACTATGTAAACCATTTACAAAACTGTTTAACTTGTCTTTAGATCTCGCCACTTTTCCTGCAGTCTGGAAACTTGCCAATATAGTACCACTTCACAAGAAGGGTGTCCATGACTGTCCTAACTATCGACCAGTGGCGCTAACTAGTAGCCTATCTAAAGTATTAGAAAAATGGGTTTTCAAACATGTATATAACTTCTTTAGAGACTACAATATAATCAGCAATTTTCAATCTGGTTTCAAACCAGGTGATTCTACGATATACCAATTAGCTGATTTATATCATTCTATCAGTACAGCACTAGATGACAGGGAAAGAAGTTAGAGCAGTGTTTTGTGATATTAGCAAAGCATTTAATAGCATTTGGCATAATGGATTAATAGAAAAATTAAAGGCAAGCGGAATTAGGGACATGTTGCTAACTTGGTTTGAAAGCTTCCTATCTAACAGAACTCAAAGAGTTGTCTTTAACGGTCTCACTTCCGGATACTCAGCCTGTATAAGCAATATTCCACTTAACGACAGAAAATGTTTTTATTGTAAACACTGTGTTGAAGACGAAGTTCATGTTTTAATCAATTGTCCGGTTTATAGTGATGAACGTTTTAGTCTTTTAAATATTTGTGATAGCCTATGTCAGAATTTTAGTAATCTTACTGATATACAAAAAAACTGCTTTTATCCTGTCCAATAGCAATATTTGTTTTATAGCTGCCAAAACCTGCCATGTTATTTTAAAAAGGAGAAAATCCGTATTATATAACTTTTAATTATTGTTATTCATAATACATGTACATGCAATTTTTAAAGAATTTTAGTCTCTCATAATTCCGTATGGAATGGCCCTATGTAAATATATGTTTAATTAGTTTGTATATATGTATAACAGGGGTGAGACTTTAATAAATAATCTGTCTGTCTGTCTGTCTGTATCCCAAGGCTCCGTACTGGGTCCCCATATGTTTCTTGTTTATATAAATGATTCACTTGATGGTATCTCAAGCAACATGTGTCTATTTGCTGATGATACCTCACTTTACATAATCATAAGTAACCCTGCTGATGCAACAAGAATATTGAACAATGATCTTGCTAATCTATCTGAGTGGGCAAATGCATGGCAGGTATCTTTTAGTCCTCAATAATCAGTCGCAATGTTATTCACTAAAAAAAGTAATACCTAGTGCTGAAACAGATTTAATGATGAATGGCATAAAAATTAAAGAAGTTGACTATCATAAACATTTAGGGCTATGGTTTCAAAGCAGTGGTAAATGGGATACACAAATCGAACATCTAGTAAAAAAAAAGCCAGTCCTATGATAAACTGCTTATGGAGTCTTAAATATAAACTAAATAGAATCTGCTTAGAAAGACTGTATAAATAATTCATACTTCCTAATTTTGACTATTGTGATTTCATTTGGGATAATTGCACCCAAGAACAAGGACTAGTCCTAGAAAAATCACACCTTGATACTCTTTGTACTCAGGTACCAGTCATAAAAAATTATACGAAGAAACTGGTATACCATCTCTCTTTGAAAGATCAAAGAATCATAAGTTGTGTATTTTTTGTAAGATGGTGCATGGCTTAACACCAGAGTACTTAACAAGATTAGCTCCACAAAACGTGGGCCACAAAACTCACTATTGCCTTCGTAATGCCAGAAAAAACTAGACTAGTACAACACTCTAAATCTTTTCTTCCATCAGTCATACAAGCCCCGGAATAATCACAACGAATCTGTTAAATCGGCAGAATCATTGTCTAAATTTAAATAATATCTTACTAATTACACTCTTAATCACAGAGCTATTAAATACTTTAACTTTGGCACACACTTTTTCCAAATCATCACGTCCAAATTGAGACTAGGATGTAGCGATTTAAAGGTCACATGCAACGTAAAACACAACTTTGCAGATTCTGATACCTTTCGGTATGGACTTACCGAAACAAATCATCAAAAATGCAAATTCAACTTTTAAAGTTGAAAAATAATGCGATGAAAAAAACCCGCGCGAAATCAGAGTTCAAATTATTCACTAATTTTCCCCCGGCACTTGGGGGAAAAAGTGGTTTCAACAACTATGCTGCGCTGTGCTCCTAATGCATGCGCACTGAATAGGTTCGCAAAGCTTGAAACAGGATGCATGCCCGGATTATAAGGTCGTGAGCAGGAGTAGTCTAATCTTGGTTGTGTACACAAATAAATAGTAAATAATCTACTTGTTACATAAAAGAACCTTGTAAGGATCTAGATCTACTCAGCTATGTGTCAACCAGTGAGGCGTTCGACATTTCAAGACGGAAAACCTTTCCTAGCGGTGAGTACTCAGAGTCAGAGGCTTTGATGTGAGCTATTTTTCTAATGTTTTGTTGATATTTCTCAGGCGCGAGCTTTTTATAAGTTATTTCTCAGGCGTGAGCTTTTTATATGTTATGACAGTAGATTACCGATTTAACTGTTTATATAATTTCATTTGACTATTTCACCACACATACTTCACCACATGCAATTTACACTTAACACCAATCAGGCTATACACCATAAGCAAAACGCATTGATTTATGGCCCGAGTTCGGTCTCTATCACATTATGTAATTACACAGACAGGCAGGTGTGATACTTGTACACATGACATGTTATGATGTCTGTTGATTGCAAAATGTTATACACCAAAAATGAGCATGTATTTACAAAACCCAACACCTTTATATTCACACACACAATGAGCCATGAGGGCATCTGCAAATGAACCAGCCGTTACACTTGAGTGCACACCCACCCGCTCTGACTGGGTTCGGTATCCCGGGTGCTTCGTTTCGAGGGAAGTAAACCCAAGTACAAAATATTGCACTTTTGATTTGCGATTGTACGCTTATAATTTTGTTTTTTCATAATCAGCAATGTATAGTATATGTCATGAATAAGTGATAATTGTGTTTTAATTATGTTTGATTTTTTTGTTACATGTGACCTTTAAACTTACACTAATTCGAAAGACATATGCCAATGTGGCTTTTTAACAGATGATATCTCACACTTCTTTATTTTCTGCCCGCTATATGGTCATATCAGACATAACCAATACTTCTACTGCAATGGATTCTCTGTTGACAAAATACTCAGACAAAGATAACTTATCCAATACTGATACAGAATTTCCTCAAACGTTTTGTTAATAACACATAGAATACAATAAGTACTAACTCATTTTGTTCTTTTTGAAAATTGCCTCATTGAATTTTATATCCTTTTGCCAATACTTTTTGTTCGTTCTGTATTGTCTTTCTTATGTATTGTATTTATTTTGAATAGATACTGTTTCAACCACATACATAAACCCTACCTTTTGACAAATTTGCTGTACAAGTTAAAAGTAATTAATCAGTCAGCGTGATATCAGTCAATCCTTTGATCGATATTTGTTTTTGTAACTCAGCTGATTATTCCTAGAATTTGTACTTTACTAAGAAATTGTAATCCCAAATATAGCATATGTTACATTTGACCACTTTCTGAATGGCATTGTGTAATCATGTAATACATTTGCCACAGACCTTAATTCATAATGCTGAGTAATTACTCCAGATATAAGAAATGCCAAATGGGAACCTTTGTCGGGTAATGAGTGGTGTTACCACTAATTATGCCTGTTATAGATTCATTAACTGACCATCAAGTGAATGGCAAATAAACATGTGTAGGTTTATACCACCAAACACGGGTTACAGCAAGGCAGTAGTAATGACTGTATTGCATGCAATTCTAATTGCCTAAAAATCACATAGAAGTAGACACTGTTTTGATGATACAAACAGAACTTCATTGTTGCATGAGAAATACATATAAGCATTTGCTGTGTTGTAAAGTTACCTGAGTAAATTTTCAGATTTTTCTAACAATGGCAAAGTGGGGTTGTTTAGTTTATGGGGTCAAATAAATCAAATATGTGTTTTTATTCTCATAGTAGTAGACGTCATATTTTTACATGACATGATTAAATATCGAGGTAAAAGACAGAGAAATAGGATCAATTGGATCAGTCATTATAGCATCCAAGCGTTAGAAAACCCGAAAAAGCCTACACTGCTGGGATACCTTATTACAATCAGACAAGAACTGAGGGGATATTTTCAAACAATGGCATCTGATGTTGTTGTTATTTGCATTATTTAACGTACAACTAAGGTATTTCGGCGACAGGGTAGTACACTTATTAAGAAATGAGGGGGAACAAAAAATAGAAATTTTGAAGAGAGGTGTTACTAGCCAAAAAAGAAAAAAAGAGTATTAGGGGAAATTTGAATGGGAGGCCTAATTAAAAAGGTAAAAAATATGAAATAGGTAAAGAGTAATAGAGATTTGGAATTTAATACAGATGTAGTGTAATAAATGGTTATTGTTATTTTCTTTTGTGAACCAACCCATGTTTAAAAACATATTTATTAGGTGAATAATGATAAACATATAAAAGGTTAAAAAATGAAGTTGATAAAAAGAGAGAACTGATTTGAAAAGTTGAAAGAACATATATACATATTTATAATTAATTTGGGGTTTGTCAGAATGTGCTTGAGATCAGAAGAGTTAGCAATGTTAAGATACTGTTTTAAAGCATTGGTGAATGGGGTTCTTTGTTTATTATATACTGAACATCATTGAAAACGCACCACCTGTATTAGTTTGGATTTCCAAGAGCATAAATGAGCAATCAGTGTAAATTTTACATACTTTTGTAGTCCAATGATTGGGAAAGAAAAGAAACAAGAACCAATCCAGCAAAACAGTGAAGTTTTAATTCAGCTGACCATGAAAGAAAGATGGAGTCAAATTGGAAAGTCAGTAACGTGTATGACCACCGTTAGCAGCAACACAAGCTGTGCAACGTCTCCTCATTGAACTAATAAGTCTCTGAATAATGTTTTGAGGCAATGCATTCCACACTTGTTGCAAGGCATTCTCAAGTTCCCCAATTTTGTTGATCTGTGGGCGACGTGAGAGGCGTTGGCCGATATAATCCCACAAGTGTTCAATGGGAGACAAATCTGGTGACAATGCAGGCCATGGAAGTAGAGGAATGTTGTTGTTTGCCAGAAACTGTGTTGCAACACGTGCAGTATGCGCTCGAGCATTGTCCTGCTGGAATGTGTGCAGATCTTGATGTTGGTTAAATAAGGGAACGACGTTGTTCTGAAGAATGGTGTCACAGTAGTAGAGGGCATTCACTCTGCCACGACAAACTACCAGAGCGGTTTTGTGATGATAACTGATCCCCCCCCCCACACCATAATGCTTCCTCCACCCCACCGATCTGTTTGCACAACACAGTCCTGATGGTAACGTTCTCCCCGTCAACGCCCATCAGCATTTCGCAAGTGAAAACTGACTCGTCGGAGAACACAACACCATGCCAACGTCGTAACAACCACAAACGATGCTGTTCAGCCCATCATCGGCATTCACGGTGATGTCTATCAGTCAGGATGGGTCCATAAGGGCGTCGACACCGTAATCCTGCTGCACGGAGACGGCGTCGGACGGTGGAAGCACTGATAAACCATATCGGCCTTGGACAGCATTGGCGGTTCAGGCATCCGGGCAACGTACGATCCCGAATATGGCACCGAACAATGTCTCGATCTTGGCGAGGGGTGGTAACATGTGCCTGGCCAGGACATTGGCGGTCGCTGGTGGTTCTGTTTGTTGGTACCTGTTGGCAAGTCTTATGATGGTGGAATGATGGCAACCAAATCATCTGGCAATAATCCTGCTTGATGTGCCAACTTGCAACATGCCCAACGCCCATTCTCGTTCCTCTGGTGACAATCTTGGCATTGCAAAATGACTTTACTTGCGGAGGTACAGCTAACATGAGAACGGTGTTTTGCCAACGGTCATTTATACTCCTAATCAGCATGTTTTAAGCATGCAATTTGTGCTTTTCGTGTGTTGTGCATGAATTTTGTTGTTGTCATGTGATGTGTTCCATGATGTGTTCGGGCAATCCGTTCTTTACTGTACAGCATTATTTATTGTCTTTTGTGTTATTAACAACATTTCCAAAGTTCATTTTCACTCTCAAAACAATCCTAGTACCATATTTCAAAATTTACAGGTGGGACGTTTTCAAAGATGTTCAGTATATTTTGAGCAGTAGAAGATAGTGTGGGCTATTGTTTCAGGAATTTGGCAAGTGATACATTTGCTGTTTGGATGAAGGTTGATTTTGTGTAGATAGTGATTAAGATTGCAAGTTGCTAATCTTAATCTGGTTATGGCAACATCAATTCGGCGTGTTTGGTGATAATTTTTACATTTTGTATTTAGTGTTTGCTGAATTTGGTAGAGTGGATAATGTTTTCCTATTAATTGCCAGTTATAATTGAATTTATTTATCATTATATTGTTAACTTTATTTGTTGCATCTGATGGGCAACCACCCTTCCTTCTGGGTGATACCCTATTAGTCAGACACCCCAGTTGTCAGACACTTGAGTGCGGGTGGAGAAGGCTCACCCCTACAGTAATAATTGATCAGTCCTAATTGATATATCCCCGGTTCTTTAGGATCAAGTGACTAGCATACCACAATGTTTGCTTTGAATAATAAGGACATAATAAGCCTTATCTAATTGGCTTATCTCTTGTACAATAAGTTAACAAACCCATAGGTCAGCCTTGACTGTTAAAGTTTAATCCCTTTTAATTGATCTACTCACATAACATTAAGAGTCTTCTTGTGCATAACTGATAGTGTGGCTTTACTATTATTGTGAGTAAACCAATTAAAAATATAAAAAGCAACTTGAGACGGACTTCTCAACTCAGGTCGGATGTTTTACTTGACATTGTATATATGTTTCCCAAAATATCTGTATACCATGAAGAACTGCAAATTACAGTCAACAATTTCAAAACAAATCTCAAAAAGCAGCAGCCTACAATGCACAAAAAACCCAAATGCATCTAACCTACAATAAACCTTTTACTGAAGTGGAACTTTACAACATAATCAACCACAAGAAAGGTACTGCTCAAGGTCAAGACAATGCCAGCTATATCATGTTAAAAAACGCCCCCAAACCATTCACAAACCAACTACTAAAACTTTATACTACAGCTTAAAGGGTCAAATACCAAAAGCCAGGAAACACTCCCTTATCTCTAACATCTAACATATGCAAAACCATAGAGGGTATGGTAACAGCCGCCTCACACAATATCTTGAAACACAAAATCTATATAATACAACTCAATCAGGCTTTCGCAAATACTGCTCCACCATAGATCATCTGTTTTAAAGGAGAATACGAGTGTATTGCAATAATTTGATGGGTGAAAGATAAAGTCATCAGAAACATATTCTCAAAATTTCAATTAAAAATTATGTATAATTATGTTTTAATCGCGAAAACAGTTTCTGTAAATCTCAGCTTCGGCCATTATGCATATTTTGCTGGAACCCACGATAGTGACATCAAATGGGCCTGGATGTCAACCAAAACAGTTATCCTGTCCTTCTTTTCAATGGACACTGGATAGTGAGCGGATGTCAACAAAATTATCCAGGACACTTTTATTTTATTCAATATTAACAACACCCTGAAACAATACACGGTTCAATAAATACAAAGTCATAATATATACATAAGATTTAAAATCCGTCATCACATCCTTTAGATGAAATACTACTATGACACACATTCTAGACAAATAAACTACAAGGGGAGATCACTCCTTGATTTACTGATTACATATTAATGACAAACATAGTTAAGGTAGAGGCATATAAATCCTATAAACATGCCCAGATAGAAAATATAAAGTATGTATATACAATGCTACATAAATACATACAATCAAGCACAATGTAATGCCTACCCGGTGTATGGCACTAGGGTGCAGATTACAGCCCTGTCAAGCTGCCAAGCCAGTCAAGCGTACGTACAATCTGTATAAACAATGATCAACGTTAAAGCTGCAATAGCTTAAACTATATATATATATATTCTACCATTTCAAAAACCTAGGATATAATATAAGCAGTTCAAACTTATATCGCAGTCATATTTACATTCACATACACACTATACTTTCTCTCATTTATAAAATCAATCAGTCAAACGTGCAAATATGTAACCATTCACTCATAGGAGAGAGAAAACACTTTAATGAACTGAATCATTTATTTGGATACTAAAAGATTATTGGATTGCAATTTAGCTTAGTGACCCTAACAAGCTAAACCTAACTTGTACACTTACACACAAGTTACAGTTTATATTTACACATAAGCATTAACAATATAACATTTAAAGGTATACACACTGATTAATTGATATAAAAGATTAAACTGACCTGTGGTGATCTTATAAAGTAGATAAATTCCAACACGGGATAAACGTCTTGTCGGTGCAAGCATTGACAGTGAAGTGAAGATTTGAATTAGTAAAGAGGGCAAGAGTTTGAATGATCCAATCAGATTGGATCAACTGAGGGCACATAATAATGTAATGACCCTACCTAACCACCCTTAATTAAACTAGAATAGCACTGACTACATAGCTATTAATAGACATGCTTTAAGATGAGTATAGTCAGTTTCAAAATGAACAGACCTGTTGATAAAAAACATTCATTACTATAAATAAGAAATATTATACCTGCAATGCAAAGTGACAGTTAATATACACATAATCCATAAATATCCAAATATGAAATGATATCCCTGAAACTGCAATGTAACTGTTAACATTCATAAAATTAATAATATTAAAACTAATATATACATGACTGTAAAAATACAATATTATACATCCGCCACACACTTCCCCCCACAAGGAAATGGCGTCCTCTTCATTTGTCTTTACCGGTGATAAGGTCCAAAATAGCATCTGATGCTCTATGCTGTTGGCTGCCAAATACACCCTGGGCTAGTAGTGAGCCAAGATAATTAGCTCGCACAAGCCAATCAGGTTGAGCTATTGCTGAGAGAGCAAATTCTCCTCCTGACATCCACCTTGGCTGTGTCCGAGCTCGGGTAGATCGCCGTGGTAGGGGAGCAGGAGTCTGCATCTGGGGTAGCGGAGCTTGTTCTTCTTCCTCTGTATCTGCAGCAGGCATAGGATGATGATCTTGCCATTGAGTCTGTCCATGGGAATCATGATCAGCATCAGCAACTTCTTCTTGAGATGAATTCTGTCTATGGGAGTCATGATCAGTGTCTTCAATTTCTTCTTCTGTGACAACATTATTGTCCTCTGATTCCATTTCCTGTTCTGTTGCATCTTCAGTTGGCCTATCTGCTGCATTGTCAGCAGACACTGAAGTATCCAAAGGATGTTCATAGATCCTGACTAACTCTTCATCTCCACTTCTATCTTCATCATCATCAGACGCAACTTGGTCGGGCTGAGGTTCAGGAGAAGGTTTGCTCTGTCTCCGTGGCTTTGGAACTGGTCTTGACTTCACTGTTACTAGATCCATTTTAGATTCAGGTGAAGCTTCCCCGCATTTCCTCGGCTTTGGAACTGGTACTTCCTGACGTGGAATAGACCCAACTGGCAACAAGAGATTCCGATGTAGAGTCTTCTTCTTCCCATCCCCATTCTCCTTACCAACAACATACACTGGGATGGAAGGGGTAGGTTGATCCAAAACGACGTAAACATCTTCTTCCCATTTATCCGCCAACTTGTGTCTCCCATCAAAGCAACAATCCTCACCAGAACTCGGTCTCCTATCTCTAATGTGGCAGCTCTGGCCCTATGATCATAATAGGTCTTCTGTTTCGACTGGGCTTTCTTGGCCGATGCGGAAGCTACATCATAAGCATGTTTGAGACGTTCTCGTAGAGATCTGGTATAATCTAACCTTGACATTGACTTCGATGGATCGATATCAAGTCCGAAAGCGAGGTCGACTGGCAAGCGAGGATGTCTCCCAAACATCAAAAAGAATGGAGATAGTGATGTTGTCTCATGGCGAGTGCAGTTGTAAGCATGGACTAATGGTCCAACATGTGCCTTCCAATTCTTTTTGCTGTCGGGATCCAAGGTACCAAGCATGTTACAGAGTGTGCGGTTAAATCGTTCACACATCCCATTCCCCATAGGATGATAAGGGGTGGTACGTGACTTGTCAATTTTCAACATATGGCATAATTCTGACATCAGTTTCCCAACGAAATTGGCACCTTGGTCTGAGTGAATCCTCTTTGGCAGTCCATAGTGTACTACAAAGTTATTGAAGAAAACTTCAGCTGTGGTCTTTGCTGTCATATTCTTGGTTGGATATGCTTGAGCGTAGCGTGTGAAATGGTCAGTAATTACCAGAACATGTTCTTGTCCACCTTTGGAAGGTTCCAAACTGAGGTAATCCATACACACTAACTCTAGAGGCTGTGAGGTTTGAATGTTTACGAGTGGAGCACGACTTGTAGTAGCTGTCTTACGGCGTAGACACCTTGGACAGTTCTGCAGATGGAGTTCAACGTCCTTCGTCATCCCTGGCCAGTAAAACCTATCCCTCAGGAGAGATATTGTCCTTTCTCTGCCTGGGTGGCCAATGTTGTCATGTAGACTATGCAGAGCTGCTTGACGACATCTAGCTGGAAGGACCAATTGCTCCTGGTCAGCTTCATCCACGCAGATAACTCTGTATAACACGCCCCTCTTCAGCCTGAAGTGATGGTAATTCTTCAGCAATGTAGTCATCTCTTTGTCCCCGATGTAGTTAGATCGATCTGGTTTAGTCCTGTTTGTGAGATGTTGAATGATTTCAACTAAGGCAGGGTCCTTGGCTTGCAATCTCCTCCAATCCCTTGCATTCATGTCACACATGTTCTCGGTCACTTCTTCATCTCCAACTATGGAAGCTGAGAGACACAAACTTTCCACAAGGTTGGTTGTGTGAATGGCTCCACAGATGGCACTAACAGAGTCTGTAGGAATGTCCTCCGTTGGTTCTGGTCTGTTCCAATCTGGTAAACGAGACAATGTGTCTGCATCGGTATTGGCTGTTCCTGGTCTATACCTTATGCTGAAGTTGTAACTTGCAAGGGCTGCAAGCCATCGATGTCCTGTGGCATCCAGACGAGCTGTGGTCAAGACATAGGTAAGAGGGTTGTTATCGGTTACAACTTCAAAGTGATGCCCATATAAGTAATCGTGAAATTTTTCAGAGATGGACCATTTGAGACACAGAAATTCCAGTTTGTGGGCTGAATAATTCCTTTCAGATGGGCTCAAACTGCGGCTGGCATATGCTATGACACGAAGCTTGTCCTCTTGTTGTTGATACAAAACAGCACCTAAGCCATGCGTTGAAGCATCGGTATGCAATTCAAAAGGTTTTGAATAATCGGCGTACCCAAGTACAGGTGGTGAAGTAAGTCTTGTCTTCAATGTGTGGAAAGCCTCACTTTGAGCTGGACCCCAATTCCAATCAACATTCTTGACTTGTTTACTTGACTTCTTGGATCCAGTCTTGGGCATAAGCTCTGACAATGGTCGGGCGATCTTTGAGAAGTTCTGGACAAATTTTCTGTAGTATCCAGCAAACCCTAGGAAGCGTCGGACATCCTCTGGCGTTGTTGGTGTTGGCCAGTCTTTAATTTTGTCTACCTTTTCTGGGTCAGCCTCAATTCCCTCTTCTGAGACAATATATCCCACATATCGGACTTTGCGCTTGAAGAATTTACACTTCTTAGGTGCAAGCTTTAATCCACATTGCTCAAGTCTCCGGAAGACCAATTCCAACCGTTCAACATGCTCTTCATAAGTCTTTGAAAATATGATGAGGTCATCCAAGTAGATCAAACATATCTTGAGATGTAGACCTTCTAGACATTGCTCCATCAATCTTTGATATGTGGCTGGTGCATTAGACAATCCAAAAGGCATCCTGTTGAATTCGAAAAATCCAAGGGGGCCAACCGTGAATACTGTCCTCTGTTTATGTGTCTCCTCTAGTTCAACCTGATGATATCCACTTTTCATATCCAACACCGAGAAATATTTCATTCCGCCCAAACAGTCCAACAGTTCTTCAATGCGCGGCAGGGCATAAGAATCCTTAATTGTCTGATTATTTAGCTGGCGAAAATCTATACACATCCTCAAACGTCCGTCCTTCCTCCTTGCTAAAACAACGTTAGACGCCCAAGGGCTATGTGAAGGCCGGATGACTCCTGATGATAGAAGTTCCTGTAGATGTGTTCGGAGGGATACGCCTATGTCTCTGCTTGAAAGGAATGGAATTCTCAAGGTCTATCCGATGACGAACTAAATCAGAGTGTCCAAGATCTTCAGCATGTTTAGAGAAGATGTCCTTAAACTTCATAATTACATCAAGTCCTCTCTGTAATTCATCCGATGGAAGTCCCTCTTTATCTATCTCCACTTGGTCGAGAAGCGTTGTAGAGTCTACTGGCAGACCAGGTGGTTGACCTTGAAGCGTGACTGGCTGTATCTCACAAAGTAAAGATCTTGGTGGTACTACAACTGTCCTGGTTGTTATATTGGATACGTGAACCTCTATGGCATCTGGTCTTGATCCATCATAGGAAATGAGAGTAGGGGCTATGTCAATATCATCTGGCAGATGTGAGTGTAGAGTTGGCTGTAAAAGGGCACAGACGGTTGGTGACCTGAGTCCTCTTGCAATGTACCCTCTAATGACGACATTACTGTTTGCGGGAATGATGACGTTTCTTGTCTCTGCACTCTTAACTAGTCCCAGCTTGCCATCATTCCGTGAAAGATTCTTGTCATGCAAAACTATACTCCGATATGCTAAATACCATGGGGTGTGTAAATCCGCTTTCTGTAAAAACCTGTGTCCATGAGACTTCCTACAATCATCAAGTAAACATCTCAAAATGTTGGTTCCAAGCAAAGCTGGTACACGAGCATTGTATCTTGTATCCGGTACAATCAGGAATAAGCAGTGTACTTCCTCATTTGTGGCAACTCCTCTACCTTCAGCTGTAACTCCAACTTCTATAAATCCCCGGTACGGCAGAGATTCCCCTCCTGCACATTCAATATCTAAGACATCATCCAGTGGCTGTATGGGAATATGCTGCAAGTGTTGAAGATAGAATGATTCTGAGATTACTGATACTGTGGCTCCTGTGTCCAACAAGGCGCTAACTGGTACACTGTCAATGGTAATCTCCACTTCATTGGCCGTCCCTACTAATCTTCCTGGTACCTGCTTATCCTTAGGGCTCCCAAGTACACCTATAGGTGGCCCTTCCCCATAGGCCTGGGAAAGTTTAAAGGGTGCCTGAGATGATCCAGTCTGACTCGACATCCACGCGCAATATGGCCAAGATATCCACACCTATAACATCGAGGTGGTCCGTGTCCCTGACTTTGTGTGTAACTGTTTGAGTATGAACCAGGTAATGACCCAGGTACATCAGTGACATCTCGTCTTGACTGTTGTTGATCCTCTGCAAATGACCTAGGTCCAAACGCAGACTGATGTGGGAAATATTTGTCCTGTGCTGGCAGAGGGTGTCTGGGATAAGCATCTTCCACTTGTGGCTTGGAAACGTTTCCAGGATGTCTGTCGCGCTTATTGTGAGATCTTTGAGTACTGTATGGGCTGTTGTAAATTTGCTGTTGATTAACTTGTGCCTGAACCTGACTCTGTTCCTTCAATTCAGATATCTCCCTCCGGATCTCCTCCATCATAGCTTTGAGATCTGTGACTTCCTCCTTAGTGGCAGCAGCACTAGATGGATTCAAGGTATTGACCATCTTAGCTGAGGCTGACTGCTTCTTCACAGGTACTGCGGACTTGTCTCTCCTTAAATCAAATTCTATCTCCCTCAAGCAAAGTCGTAGATCATCAAAGTTGGTGATGGCATCAAACTTGTGAGCTGCTACACCCTTCAATCCAGGCTTGAGGCCATCCCACATACGAGTCCTTAGCATCTCATCCTGTTCATCCTCTGGAATAGACCGGTGCTCTGTTATCTGGTATAACATATTCTCAAGCCTACAACCCCATGCAGTGACATCTTCATCCTCCCTTTGTGAACAACTATAGAAATCAGACATGAGAGTAGCTCTCCTCCTTAGGGTTCCAAAGGCACTCTTCATCTTGGTTAGCAGGATTTCAACTGTAGCATTCCGTCCGAGTTTCATGGCTATGAGAGCAGCTTCACCTTTCAAAGATTTCCTAATAGCCTGCAGAATGACATCGTGTGGGTAGGTCTTAGATTGCAGTAGACAATCAACTTCAAAGCGCCATAAGTCATAGGGAGTGTCTTTACCTACTTCTCCACTGAAGAAGGGTATCTTCGGGAAATAGTGAAATGAAGCAGTTGGCGTCTGTTCTTCCTTGGCTGATGCTAATGGAGGAGGTGGCTTGACGTCGGGTCCCTGGAATGAACCTTCTTGTTTGGACATGTCACTGAGCCAAGTTTTGAAATCTGACGTGCTATCAATCTTTGGTGCCATTCCCATCTTCTCAAATATGGTAAGCATGTTCTTAAGTTCTTCTTGATTGAGTTCCATGGTTCAAGATAAGAAACGTGGTTGTACTATTTCGGATAAGGCTTTCAGAAAGAAGGAAAGAAGAAACTACCCAAAGTAACTCACGGTTACTAAACCAAATGCGAAATGGTAATCCAAATGATACTTAGCGCATTCAGAGGGAGATAAACGACATCCACAGTGTGGAACCGTCTGTGGTAATAAAGTATTGAGTGTATGCAACGCACAAGGGTTACAAATGGGATTCAGTAATAGCTAACTACCAGTAACCAACTAACTAAATACTAACACTAAAGCGACAAGAAGGGAATCAGGAGTAAACGCCCGTCGGCAAGTCAAGAAGCTGAAAGAAAACAAGAAGCATTAATGTTTTGCATAATACCTGGAAGGCAACAAGTTGTCTTCAAACAAACTTGATGTGTGTCTGGGGCAGCAGGCTGGAAGCAGCAATTTCAAAACACCAAAGTTGACTCCTGGAAACTAAGTGTGAACTAAACTAATAAATGAACACAATAACTATATGTCACTACAATTAGAAACTAAGTTAAACTGACCTAAACATCACAGTATATACTGAACCGAGTACAACCCCAACATATCACCAACTAACACATACTGCCCAAAGCGATACAAGAAGGGAGTAAGTATTAACATACAAGTGAAAGGGCAGTGCAGTGGTGCAGCAGTCAATTGTCAACTAATGTGTTGGCTATATGAATGTATAAATGGTTTACCTGTTATGTACTATGCTTAACACTAATATAGTTTGGCAGTATAGTTATATATATATATAAAGGTGTGTTTTATTTTAATGTTTATTTAGACAATTTATGATATGTAACAAGTACAAGGTATACCTTTATGGTGTAAACAGGATTCAAACTACATCACTTACTCACACACAACCACACTAAGAAACAATGTGACTAAGATAGATGCAAAATAACTATAAAGGAAATTATAAAACACAAACACAGTATGATGTCAAGTAACAACTAAATAACCAAATTAATTACATCTTTATTGCTTGGCTTGGGTAGGAACAGGAAATCAAATTAAATCTAAAGTTCAATCTAATATACTAGAAACTATCTAATAACTAAGTGTTGGTACCAACGTAAATGTTACATATATAAGCCGGCAATGTGAAAGTAAACAAAAAAATAGCTGCAGCAAGGAATGACCAATACAATGTGATACCACAGTACAATATGTCAGTGTTGATGATATGAGAAAGTCTCTAGAAAATACACACAATTCACAGGCACCACACAATCTAGGTGTGCTAGAATAGTCCTCACATTGATCTGTATGGAACAATGATCACCTGGCGTGGAATCTGTTGACTGGCTGGCTCTGTTGACTGTACCCTCTTGGCTGTACTGTCCTATGGAATGTTAGTCCTCACTGGGGGCTCCATTTTGTAACCGGGATAGTGAGCGGATGTCAACAAAATTATCCAGGACACTGGTTACGGGGGTGAGACCTTTTATTCCAATATTAACAACACCCTGAAACAATACACGGTTCAATAAATACAAAGTCATAATATATACATAAGATTTAAAATCCGTCATCACATCCTTTAGATGAAATACTACTATGACACACATTCTAGACAAATAAACTACAAGGGGAGATCACTCCTTGATTTACTGATTACATATTAATGACAAACATAGTTAAGGTAGAGGCATATAAATCCTATAAACATGCCCAGATAGAAAATATAAAGTATGTATATACAATGCTACATAAATACATACAATCAAGCACAATGTAATGCCTACCCGGTGTATGGCACTAGGGTGCAGATTACAGCCCTGTCAAGCCGCCAAGCCAGTCAAGCGTACGTACAATCTGTATAAACAATGAACAACGTTAAAGCTGCAATAGCTTAAACTATATGTATATATTCTGTCACTTCAAACACCTAGGATATAATATAAGCAGTTCAAACTTATATCGCAGTCATATTTACATTCACATACACACTATACTTTCTCTCATTTATAAAATTAATCCGTCAAACGTGCAAATATATAACCATTCACTCATAAGATAGAGAAAACACTTTAATGAACTGAATCATTTATTTGGATACTAAAAGATTATTGGATTGCAATTTAGCTTAGTGACCCTAACAAGCTAAACCTAACTTTTACACTTACACACAAGTTACAGTTTATATTTACACATAAGCATTAACAATATAACATTTAAAGGTATACACACTGATTAATTGATATAAAAGATTAAACTGACCTGTGGTGATCTTATAAAGTAGATATTCCAACATGGATAAACGTCTTGTCGGTGCAAGCAGTGACAGTGAAGTGAAGATTTGAATTAGTAAAAGAGGGCAAGAGTTTGAATGATCCAATCAGATTGGATCAACTGAGGGCACATAATAATGTAATGACCCTACCTAACCACCCTTAATTAAACTAGAATAGCACTGACTACATAGCTATTAATAGACATGCTTTAAGATGAGTATAGTCAGTTTCAAAATGAACAGACCTGTTGATAAAAAACATTCATTACTATAAATAAGAAATATTATACCTGCAATGCAAAGTGACTGTTAATATACACATATCCATAAATATCCAAATATGAAACGATATCCCTGAAACTGCAATGTAACTGTTAACATTCATAAAATTAATAATATTAAAACTAATATGTACATGACTGTAAAAACACATTATACATATATCCAGATATATATTATCAAAATCAGTAAGTGATTTCACATGAGCTTGAAAATGTTTCGCTATAATGTTCTTTTCGGTTTGGAGCCCTAAATGATGCAGTCAACTTGAAACATTGCCAAATACAACGGCAAATCATGAAGTACTTGTTGCTTTCATATTTTTCCATTTTGCCCAATTACGCACGTCGGCATCAGACTCGCTATTTGTCAGTAGTGTGTGCCGTGAAAGTTGTTCTGTATTCTCATTGGCTGACAAGATGTCATTCTAAGGCTATAACCGAGTACCATAACTATTTCCATAACCAAACAATGGGGAAACATATGTTGTCCTGACTATTATTTTATAATTCACCAGTTTTCGGGGAATAACTTATCTGCGTCACAAATATTATCTCTGCTCGACCAGGCTGGGATCTTGTATCGAGACTTGATACGTTATTAATGAGAACTAGGCTCCTAATTTTTTTCAACAAAATAATTCCAGTGTAATTTTTGAAGCAGATAATTTTATTTTCCCTCGTCTGAAGCATAATTGAAAATTTTATTATAAATTGTATATTTATATACTTATCCTATCTCACGGTATGCACCTCTTCTCTTCTACTACGACCATGTGTGGAAACGTGCTGTAGGCTAAGTTGAATCAAATCTTGCTGGCCTCTGACCCGCCCTGACCTCTGCCCCCACTCCGACATCATCTCTGTAAGCGGTGAGCTCGCTCACATGATCATGTGACTACCTGTGCCTGTCATTCTCGTCTTGGAGCTTCTAGTAATCTGTGATATGGGGCAGGTCGGGTGGGTCCTATCGCGTGAGATAGGATAAGTATATTAATATACAATTTATAATAAAATTTTCAAATTTTTAAACTTATCCTATCTCACGGTATGCACAATCCCACGGTTGGTAGGCGGGTCGCAGATTACCCTGTTGCTACCACCAGGAAAAACGCATAACCCAAGGAGGCCAGGAGAAAGCATCAACTCCCGATATGCAAACTCCAACTTGAGATGGGTTTCTTCATGTAACCCCTTGGCTTACACAGCACAAAAACTCTAGGGAGTGGGTGCTCCCGAATTAATGTGGTTTTCGGCCGCAACTTTTGACAAGCAAAAGGACGCAGTTTGGCAAGTAGGCCCCGCCGCCCCACGATTTATCAGGTGACCCCAGTGAATTAAAGTCGAGGACCTTAATCTGGCCAGTCCCTGCTTCAAAACTACCCCCCCACAGACACACGCTGGAAGGCGGTGAAAGAGGGAATAGTTCGGATGCTCAACTAGTTTAACGTTCAGTACCAATCTCCCTAACTTACCAAAGGTGAGAAAAGACTCAAGAGCAGATCGCTTCGAAAGCCATGTAGGTAATCGGAAATCAACACTTCACTGACGTAATTGCTCAGAGAGTAAAGGTCAGTAAGCGGAGTGTTGATCATTTCTGTATGTAGCACAAGACTGGCCTCGCAGTCTATCAAGTCATAACTAACGACAGTGCAAACACACCCTACTTCCATAGGAGAGAATAATCTAAACCCAATGGAAAAAAGTACGAATACATGGATAACATCGATATCTTTTATTATGTACAGAGCAAAACCGACCAAGCAGGATTGCTTCATCTGCGAACACGAGCCGATGACAACTGCTGCGCCAGGACCAGGGGGCCGAACTGATGTAGACCTTCCACGTCTGTAACTGAGAGGTCCCTCAGGTAGTGTGAAGCAAACATCATATCTGATCGCCAAAAACAGCCCTCCATGACGGACTGCAGGGAACAATTTCTGTGAAGAGCCATGGTGGAGGCAAGAGCACGCGTCTCATGAGGCTTCGCCGTTGACGGTGGAGGTAGTTCAGCAAAGGCATAGGCACGCAGGATCGTAGTTCGCATCCAAAACGCCAAGGTAATACGGGAGACTTCCGAGGTGGAGGCAGTAGACAATGGAATGAACAATCTCTTACGCAATCTGCGGCGATCCTGTGAGGCAGCTAGGTAAATCCTTAATGCACACACCGGGCGTAAGGACAGATCCTCAGTGTCGTCTGGGCCGAAGATAGTGGACAACGTCGGAATCGTGAATGTGCGTTCTGGCTGGCCTTGTAACTGATTCTTGGCGAGAAAATCCGACCGCAAACCAAGGAAAACTTTCGCATGTCTAGACCTTTCAAACCGTACCCGAGAAACATCCAGAGCATGCAACTCAGAAATACGAGCCGCTGTAGCCAAGGCCAATAAAAAGAAGGTCTTAAAGGAGACATGTTCAAAATCTTTCTCCTCCAAAGGTTCATAATCAGCTGACGTGAGATGAGCAAGTACAACAGAAAGATCCTAAGCTGGAGGTTGGAACTTCCGAGATTGGTCAGCCAGTTTTAAGACCGGAGGAGAGACTGGAGTTCAGGGACAGTGGACACCTTCACACCTGAGGCCGCTGCAATGACTGTGTTAAGAGCCGCCAAATAGGTAGATAGTGTAGAACCTTTGAGTTTTCTGGAGGTTTGGAGATGCTGAATGTACTCTCCCACAATCTGCGGGGACGCGGTAGTGGGGGATAAGATGCCCTTCTTCCTGCAATACGCTTCGAAATTCTTCCATTTGTCATCGTAGAGTGACCTCGTAGAAGTACGATGCGCTGTGGTAATGGCAGTAGCTACACGCTTAGAATAGCCCTTAGCCGTTAACGACCGATGAAGATGCGCCAAACGTGCAGATGGAGCGTCATCGGAGACCAATGGAGCTGGTCGGAGTGCGGATGAACCAGTAGATCGGGTCGAATGGGAAGAGGCCCGGGATCTGGTTCAGCTAGGTCTTGGAGGTTTACGAACCAACTTCTGGCCGGCCAATAGGGCGCGACCAAAAGCAGAGTTATCCTCTGAGTTGCTCGTAGCTTCACTAATACGCGAGGAAGAAGGGCAACTGGTGGGAACGCTTAAGCATTCAGGTTGTCCCATGGAATGGCTAGAGCATCGAGGTCCCAAGCCAGAGGATCCGGAATCGTTGACACAAACCGAGGCAGCTGATGGTTGAAGCGAGTGGTGAAGAGATCTACTGTCGGCGGCGTCAACGGAAGGCAAAACGTCTGGAACACCTGAGGATGCAATTTCCATTCCGTTGGAGAGAGACGACTCGGTCGAGAAAGAGAACCTGCGATGACATTCTTCACCCCCGGAATGTGATTGGCTCGTACCATGATGTGGAGACCATGACCAGATCGAAGAACCGTTGGGTCCACTGCAGCAGTTGAGTAGACCCCGTGGACCCCATCCTGTTGATATGCCAAACCACCGCTGCGTTGTCCGATCGGAGCATGAGGGACATTGCTCTTAGGACATCCTGCCAGTGACTGATTGCAAGCATCACTGCCTGAACTCCAGAACGTTGATGTGACAGGTGCGATCGTCGGGAGACCACTGCCCTGCCACTTGTTGATTGAGAAGATGAGCTCCCCACCCGTGTAGAGACGCGTCCACATACAGGTGGTGAGACGGAACAAACGGCCTTAAACAAACTCCGGCGCAAACATTCAATTCTGCCATCCACCACCGGAGATTGGGATGGAGCTGCAGAGGTAGAGTGATCAAGGCAACGGGATCTCCCACTCTGATGTAAGGCGCTAGAAAGAACTGTAAGGGACGAAGTTGTAGTTGACCCCTGAGGGTCAACGCCTGAGCCGACGTCAAGAGGCCCAGGAGCTCCTGCCACTGACGAAGCTTCCTGGGTTGCGCCAATGCCAACGAAACCAATCGCTGAATCTTGGCGAAAGATCCCTTGGGACAAAGAGTTTGTTGGCTTCTGTGTCGAATACTACTCCAATGAATTGGAGACGGCACGTAGGGGCTAGTTCCGATTTCTGCAGATTGATTAACCAGCCTAATTGGCGAAGAAGCCCTATCCCAAACTGCATGTGACGAAGCAGAAGGGCATGATCGTTCTGTGCCTGAATGCAGTCGTCGATGTAGGCTTCGAACACGATCCCCATTGCGGTGAAGGAAGCTGGTGATAGGCTTCATGACCTGTGTGAATAGCCACGGGGCCAAAGAAATTCCAAACGGGAGGACACGCCACTGATAGTGGGTGCCTTCGAAGACAAACCGAAGGAACTTGCGATGAGCTGGGAAGATCGGGTTGTGTAGATAAGCATCCTGGAGGTCCAAACTGACCATGAAATCTCCCGGCTTGATAATGGTCTTGAGGAGTGCCACCGATACCATGCAAAAATGGGGCGGAGGCTGCAGAAACCTCTCGTTGAACACCTTCATGTTGAAGATTAACCTCAGCTTGTCCGAATCCTTCTTGGGGACCAGAAAGATTGGAGAATAGAACCCCAGGGCGGTAGGAGCCAGACCCAGGGATTCGATCGCAATTTTCTGGCGTAAGGTATTGATTGTGGATCGCAGAACAGACGTCTGTCGAGTGGGATACGTTCTACGCTCCGGAAGCAAAGTGAGGGGAGGATCCCCTATGAGTGGCAGCTGAAAACCCGTGGACAACATGGAGAGGACGAAGGGGTCTCCCAACGATTGGCGCAACGATTCCTCCACCTGCAAACACTGGAACTTCAACAATTCCACTGACACTTGTAAATGAGCATCCTGGCCCACTCTGTTGGCGACATCTCTAACAGCCCCGTTAAACAAAGACCTGCCAGACCATGGCTGCCGAAAAAGATCAGTACGGAACCGATCCTCCCAAGAGGTTAAGTGCAAAGGCCTCCTGCGACGTACAGCTGTGATGTATGAAAAGAAGTGAGCTAAGTGATCTAGAATGGTCTGGAATTGCTCTTGCAATAAGACCATAGCTGCCCGAATATACACTTGTTGATGGGACGTAGCATGCGCAACCGACGTAGCCACCGCTTCGGTAGTCGTCACACCATGTTGAGAGGAGCCATAATCTTCCATATGACACCATCCAAATGTAACAGCTCACGATCCTCAACCAGGAATGGCGAGAAGGCCTTCTGCTTAGTCCCAAGCAATGAAACATCA